TAGAGAGTGATAAAAAGAAATAGCCTCCAAGAATCCAAGTATGAATGATTTTTGCACTGAAGTTAAAGACCAGTTGTACTGATCTGAGGACACTGTTGTGAGCTAACATGAGAGTTTTGGATTATACGTAAGTGGTAATTCCTTGATTATGCAATCTCCCTGCTGTTAGATTTAGATACCAAAGAGGAACTACAGCATGTCTTTCTCCTAAAGTCTTTATAGAAAGTATTATATTTGGTCTTACTGGAATAATAGTTTACCCCTACAGGAATTCCATAGTGATAGGATTTTTAAGGTTCATTCTGGAGTTACAGTTTTGTTTTGTTCTGTTTTCATATGCAGCTCCAGAATGGCAGAAGACGATTCATATTTGGGAGGGCACGAACAAGTAAGTGTTATAATATAACCTCACTGATAATTTTATTAAAATGTATTCATGTTTCAAAACATACAGGGGCAACATTAGTAATTCAATATCAGGAAAACTCTAAAGTTAGTAAAAATTTCTTTAAAATGTTTTTTAGTTTCCCTCCATGTAAGGTTGGAGAGGTCATGTCATGTAAAATGAGTAACTTAAACCTTGCTATCACAAATGCTGTCGCATAAAAATTGTATGCGCTACAGGTCAAATGATAGCCACTGAATTAGTTTTTTAGGACTGCTGTAACAAATTATCACAAACCTGGTGTCTTAAAACAGCAGAAATATATTCTCTCTCACTTCTGGAGGCTAGAAGTCCGAAATCAAGGTGTTGACGGACAGGGTTGGTTCCCTCTGGAGGTTCTGAGGGAGAATCTCTCTCCTAGCATCTGGTGGTTTCTGGTAATCCTCAGAATTCCTTGGCTTGTAGCTGCATCACTCCAGTCTCTGCCTCTGTTGTCACATGTGCATCTTTTCTTTGTGTCTGTACTGGGTCTCTGTATCCCTTTCTCCTTCTCTTTTTCCTTATACTGGTGTCAGTCATTGGATTTAGGCCCTAAAAATATGCAGTATGACTTCATCTTAACTTGCTTACATCTGCAGAGGCCCTATTTCCAAATAAGGTCACATTCACAGATACTGGGAAGTAGGACTTAAACATATCTTTTTTGGGAGTGGACACAGTTCAACCCACTACAGCCTGCTATCACATGTATTTAAAACTCATCTAATGAGGCAGATTGGTGTAGTGAAAAAATCTTTGGACTTAGAATTCGAAGATCTATATATGAGGGTACTTCAGAAAGTTCATGGAAAAATAGAATTAAAAGATAATATGAATCTTTCCATGAACTTTTTGAAGTACCCCTGTATAAGTGCTGACTGCTACTGATCAGCTCTTCAAACCTGAGAAGTCATTTATCTCCCCAATCCTCACTTTTCTCAATTGCAAAATAGGAATGTGAGCCCCATACTCACAGGGGTGTTGAAAAGATTCAGTGGGTAATGAATGTGCTTTGGGAGCATGAAACTGTTATTATTATGTTAACACTTATGAAGAAATACCAGTGTCCTTTATTTTCTTTATGTTTTTTTCTTTTTCTCCTAACTTTTTATTTTGAAAATTTTCAAGCCTGTAGAAATGTTTAATACTCCAACAAACCTATATTGGTTGTTAACATTTTGCTTCTCTCTCTATCTATCATCTATGTATATAGAACCATTTGAAAGCAGTTTTTAGATTCTAGGATAATTACAATGGCAGTATTAAATTTTTAATGTAATGATTGTAAGAAGTATTTAAAACAGAGATTTATTCATTTATCAGCTATTTATTTATTACTATGTACCAAAACATTGGCTTAATAGGGATGCAAAAATAAGTAACACAGAGACTCTAATTTTAGGAAGCTGCCATTATAAGAGGAGGGACAGAGACATAGTTTCCATATGGGGTAAATGCTACAGCAGCAGTCTGCAGAGTGGGACAGAAATGTTGAGGGATCACTGTTGTGCTACCTGGGGAAAAGAGCAGATTTATGGAGGACTTTGCAAAGGAAGGCTATGTAAGCTGAGATTTGAAAGATATAGTTTGCTAGGCTAGACAAGGAGAGGGATCAGTAGGTACCAGGACACCTTGGTCTAAGTTTCATTATCATTTCACATTTAAATTTTAGTGGCAACCATCTAAAACAATAGATTTCCCAAATTTATGCATGTAAAAATCAGAAAAATAAAACCAAAAGTGAAATACTCTTAAAAGAGATCTCATATTGTTTCTATAAATAAAATAGACTTACATAGCATGCATTACTCTTGGTCTAGTGTTCTGATTGATTCAGAAATAATGAATATGCATTGCTTTTCACATTAACATGATCCTTTCTAATTTTATTGTAAAAAAGATATTATAGGATAAGTCTAGGAACATTTTCTTTGGTTGCAGTGTGAAAGACTTGGCTACTCATGTTATCAAAACCCTTTGTTTTACCTTTCGCTTTTAATACACTATCTCTAACAATTAAAGGCAAACTCTAACCAGCATGAAGGTTGTTTCTGCTTGGTTTTACACTGCTTTCCTGTCTGTATACAGGAAATCTTATCAACGAGAGATGGTCCTTTATACCACACAAGAGTAAAAGCTGCTGAAAACATTCATTTTGAAAGTTTTTCTTATGTAGGCATTTTTGTGATCATCATCAGCAGAGGTTGGGCATATTCTGATGTTTCCTTTTTTTTTTTTTTTTTTTTTTTTTTTGATATTTCCATTTTTGCGGGGAGAAGTCCTTGTAGTTTTTTTTTTTTCCTAGTCTTGATCTTAATGATTTATATTTCCTAAAGTTTACATGTCCTCAGTGACAAATCCTCAGTGTTTTAGTGTATTCTAGAATTTGCTCTACACCCCAACCTAGTAAATAATGTGAACTGCAGCACAACACAGCTTCTCCTCTTTCTCTGAAGCAGAGTACAAATCTTTCTAAGGTGGGCGCTTTTGCCCTCTACCCAGTCATTTTAGCCACCTGCAGGACCAGAGGAAAGTGTTTTTCTGCTAGGTCTTCTTTTCTGCTCTGAGGCTGGTGAATACCCTGAACATGTTTTTTCATTCCTGTATTTCCTTTTTAGAAGGCAATGAATAGCATTGATGAGCTTTTCTCTTTAGCACTGAAGTGGAGCACATTTTTTGTTCCTCAGTTGAAACTTTGTATCCTTCACAACAGCATCTGAAGTGTTCTTTATTTAAACATTGTTTTTCCTACTCTTGATTTAACTAGGCATACTAGGTTCTTAGGTACCCAGTAACCTCCAATAATTTACTAATAGGAGCAAGGAGATAAATTGTAATACTGGCTATTTATTAAAAAAAAAAAAAAAAAAAAATTAGTTCCAGCACACTAACTAACTAGCTTCTCATAAAAAGTGAAACATGGTTGGTTTCTGTGCTATCCACAGACATTTCAAATAGATGACTTCTTTGAGGCTAAAACAAATAGCAAACCTAGAAATATGAAGTTAAAGTCCTAAATGAATTAAGTGGGAAAAAATTTCTCTTGGGATAAGTAATTAATAGTATTTTATCAAGGTAGAATTTCATTCCATCAAATTTATTGCATGCCCACTGTACTAGTTTTCTGCGTTACTTTTCTGTTGCTTTTGTAACAAATTACCACAAACTTGTGGCTTGAAACAGCACAAATTTATTCTCCTAGTCTGGAGTTAAAAGTCCAAAGTAAAGGTGTTGGCAGGTCTGTATTCCATCCAGAGGCTTTCATTTCTTTGCCCCTTTTTGAGCTTCTAGAAGTTGCCTACTTTCTTTGGCTTCTGAACCTCCCATCACTCCAACCTCTTATTCCATTGTCACTCCTCCTACTACTTACTCTGATTTTCTGAGTCTCTCTTATTGGGCCCACCTGCATAATTCAGAATAATCTCATTTTAATATCCTTACCTTAGTGACATAAGCGAAGTCCCTTCTGCTGTATAAAGTAGCATTCACAGGTTCTGGGGATTAGGATGTGGACTTCTTTGGGGGAGTCATTATTTAGCCTGCCACAACCACTAAATTCCAAGTATTTTGCAATGTGCTAGAAAAATAAAGGTGAAAAAAGTATGAGTGCCTCAGTGCTCCTTGGATTGTAAATTATATTTTCAATTATTTTGTAAACTGTGCTGCTGTCTATAATTCTTTCAGGCCTTGAAATTGGGTGCATAGATTAGGTATGTACCTTTTTACTACCATAAAAGGAATATAGATTTCTATGATTATATTCTTATGTTTATTTCTAAGAGAGTATAAGCTTCAAAATCGTTCTCTCAACAAGTATTTATTAAGTATCCACTCTGTGATAAGTATATACTTGGCTCTAAAGGTATATAGGTTGAGTATCTCTTATCTAAAATGCTTGGGACCAGAAATGTTTTGGATTTTGGACTTTTTCAGATTTTGGAATATTTACAGAATACATATTGGTTGAACATCCTTATTCTGAAAATCTGAAATAGAAAATGCTTTAATGAGCATTTCCTTTGAGTGTCATGTCGGCATTCAAAAAGTTTTGGATTTGAAACAAACGGTGGGGGGGGGCAGGGAAGAAGACAAAACAATCACAATTCCTTGAACTTAAGACAAGTGAACAGATATGATGTTGATGGGTGAGAGGGGTGGCAGGGAAGGAATCTGTAAAAGGACACGAAAATCAACTACATTGTATATTAATAAATTAAAACTTAAAAAAAGTTTTGGATTTGGAGCATTTGGATTTTGGATTTTCAGATTAGGGAAATTCAACCTGTGACAGTAAGCAGGCAACACCAGTTCCTTGCCTCTGGGGACTTTATTATAGCTAGGTTATTCTCAAATCCCTTTGTTATGTAAGCTGAGTCCAGTCCTATATAAAATTATGTACACATGAGAATTTAACTAGGTTTCAAGAAGGTATTTTAAAATCCTGATTTAAAATATTTTCAGGTTTTTTTAGCTTTTGTTTCCTTTCTGTAATTAGGTTTTAGGCATTCCAATTTCAAATTTTTAATGTAATGTTGGAAAAATAATGACTGAAAAATTTACATTTTCTTCTTTATAGATGTATCATATGGATCCTTTGAATCATCCAATATTTAATCCAGAGTTATTTCAACCAGAGATGGCGCTGTCAACAGGTAAGAAAACCCATCCCTATCGCCCTGTTGTTTTGCTTTCACTTTTTTTTAAATTCAGGATTTGCTAAGAGTCTTTTTTAGAAATTCAGTGATGTACATAGAAAGGAAATGTTGATTTATGTTTTAAAAACCAGTCGTTCAGTACATTTTCATTTTGCACAAAAACATTTTACCTCAACTTCTCAACGTATGGCTTACTGTGGTTGCTGATATCTGCTAGAACAGCTCAGAAGGAATTTCTTTATTCAATGTAAGGATTTTCCTTTTCTCCCAATCTTATTATCAGTGGATTCTTTTTAACTCTTCTGTGCTTTGTCCCAGACTCACATGAAGCAGTCTTGACTCCTCAGTTCTATTCCAAAAAAATTTATCTGAGGGCCTGTTGTGGAAGCCAGTATGCCAGGCTCTGAAAAGACAAAGTATACAAAAATCATGAAAGTTATCCTTTTAAAAAGGTTTTAGCTTTGCATCCTGACCGACTGGATAAAACAATAGTAATCTTTCTAATATGACTATTAGTTATCCCCATCCACAAATTATTTAATTTCATATAAGAAATAAAGAAATCAACTTATTTAGCTTCTTTTTTTTATTCATTGATTTGTACGTAAGTTCAGTGTGATGGCTCTTATGTTCTGTTTCGCTTCTCACATCACCAGTGGGACTTAACAGGTGTTCAAAAGTGGTGGCTGAATTATGGAGGTTGTATGTAAAACAGAGAGTTTGGTAATCACTGAAGTGGACATTAGTCATTTTGTTCTTCATAAACTTGCTCGTCTTCATTGGGAGACTTTCTCCAAGTTGTCTCATTCTCATTTAAAATTATTATGATTATTCTTATACTTACTTTTCATTCTTTTAAATAAGAATGTTTTTCTGCATTTGTATATTTACTATTTCTAGGAGTTCATGGGAGAGGAAAAAAATAAATCTGCTATGCTTTCACCTTCATTAGCAGAAGTTGTATTATAGAGGCGTTTCTTTACCCCACAAAACATATTTTTTTAGGCTTCTGTATCTCAGATCTTGTGAAATGCTATCCAATTTGATCTCTGGTTTTTTGGGGGGGTTATGAATATTCATGAGATACAAAGCTGATTGTCACCCCTCTGCCTAAGATGTGAAGGCCAGATCCATACTGGCGGCATGCCCATTACCACAAATTGCGATTGTACCCCATGTCCCCCACCGTAGGTCAGCTTCCTGTGAACAAGTAAATGACTTGGTAGCATATGTGTTTCCTGTGAACTTTTTAATTATGGGGTTTTGAAAGTATTTTTCTTAGTATTAATGTTCTATTGAAAATATAAGAACTTGGTTCCACCCTCAGGATATATACAAATTTCCATTTAATACTTTGTTAATACCAAACAGTATCCTGAGGCAGATCTTTTCTTAATGTTTTTTTTCTTTAGGTTTATGGGCTTAGAAATAAGATTATCAAAAGAACCATCTCAGTAAACATTCTGTGGTCAGAGCTTCTTGTTGTAGAAATTATTTTACCACCATGTTAGAAAAACTTTTAAAATTATACCTGAAAAATCTCTTTTTATAGTTGTTATTACCCCATAATTTTTATTAGTATGTTTTTCACTTTTTGTTGCAGTGGCATACATAGTACAATGTTTATAGTCCAAGAAGTATGGGATGTTTCATTCAAATTTAAAAGGGGTAGAGATGTTATCTAAACCAATATTAACTTATCATTTTCATATGGATTTTTTTATCTTCTATATTTCTTGAAATCTAAAACCATTAGTAGATCTACTACTCGTTAAAACCTCCAAGGGATATAGTACAACTGTATGTCTGTAAGATTATGCTGTAATTTAAATATCTCTGCACAGTGGAATGTCACTTTCATGGCACAGAAATGTGACCAAAAGAAAGATGGTCTTAAAACAAATATATACATATCAAGTCTAATTTTCTAGTTGATATAACTTGTGAATGTGTTCCCTGAAAGAGAAAAATGGCCCCATTTCATATGGAATTTCACATATTAAAAGGAAATTAAATTCTACAGGAAAATAATAGCAAACACTGCAAGTATTTTTAGAAGAATTAAGGGACTTGAAGTTTAATGTAAATGTGCTTCCAACTCCACCATATTTTCCATGAAGTCTTATCTAAATGTTGCTTTCTTAGAGGACTGTTTTCTTGAAATTTTCATTCAGTATATTTTAATATTTGTTACATTGTTATACAGGCTGTGTATTAGTAGTGTGACAGTGTTTCTATTTCTAATCAGTTTTACTTCCTTCTACGAAATTCTAGACCTTTTTTTTTTTTTTTTTGAATTTTAAAATTGCGATTACCTTTCTAACAGTAGTTTAAAATGTCCAGGGATGAATTTTATGCAGATGAAAGAAAGTATTTTACTGCATTACTGCATTGGCCAGTGACTCCCCATTTTTCTTTTCTTGTGTATGTTTCACTTCAAATACAGTCATTTCTCAACTGACTTCCTTATAAATTTCTTGAATAATAACGGCAAATAATTATACCTTTGTTTCCTACAGTTTTCTAGCCTTATCCTGATTCATCATAATACTGAGAAGATTAAAAACAAATTACCTTTTAAGTTATAGTTTACTTTTAATTTCAATCTGAAGGTTTATCTCTCCTTCACAAATTTATTTATCCAAAATAATGTGTTTTGAGCTTCTAGCTGAGAGACAGTGAAGATTAAAATGGACACAGAAGCATTCTCCTAGAATATTTTTAGTACCAAACATCTTAATTTGTCATTCAAACAAATGAGAAACAGCATATGCCTTTATTTATTGCAGAGCTATGGGTTACTATACTATCAACACAAATTCAGATGGGGAGCTTAGGGACTTTCTCATATTGAACAAATTTGTATTTATGCTGTCAGAGTTCTGATTTTCCTTTGTACAGTACTTAATCAGCACACACCTATCTTCAATTAAATTATTTTCAGGATTTTATAAAATGCTTGTGCTGTTTTGAAACAAAGTTTGCAGGAGAGCACAATATTCAAAAGCTTTATATAAACATCAAAAGCTATGGATTGATATGAAGAGTTCACCATGTCTGATAGTCTAAATTAAATTGGGGGAAGGAAGGGAGACAAACTAACCAGTTAGGGAATGAGGCAGTGCTTATGGATTCAGTTAATGGAAAGAAAAGAAAACTTAGTGTAAGGAAACACAGATAGATGGAGATCATTATCAATGTATTTCACACAGGTAGGTTGCTAGCTCAATCTCTTTTAATTTCATGTTAAGCACATTTTCTTTGAGGAATGAAAGTCAGAGTCTAATGATGTGAAGGCAAAAGAAAACAGTGCCCAGGAAGTGGTTGCTGCTTTTAATTGGTATTTGTGTCATTTTTAAAATGCTTTGTTGGGAGACAAGATTGTGAAGGCTATTGACATCTTAATCCTTGCCAGCCATCGTGCCTTTTGTAGGGTTGGGCAACGTGCCATCACCATTCAACAAACATTTATTTATCTCGGTTCTCTAAAACTGTAACACTATTGTAAAAATAATGTTAAATTTAATATTTCAAATGAGAAAGAGAAATTATATCCTTATAGAATTTTAGCTAAAATATTGATTTGAAACCACTATTTACAAACATAATTTCAGTTTTTGACTTGCTTTACATTTTATACCAAATTTGAGAAGGCTCACAGTTTCTTTTGGTTTCTGTTTGTTGTTTTTGTTTTTAGCAGATGGCCCATACCTTCAAATATTAGAGCAACCTAAACAGGTAAGAAGATTAAAGGGATGGGATTTTTTCTTTTAATGTGAGATCCCTACATCTAATATTAAGATCTCAAGCACTGAATAATAGAAAATGGATTTTATGAAGGAAGTAGTTATCTGAAAGATCAACAGCCTGCCAAATTATGTAACACCTTTATTTGTCTACTTTACATTTCTCTTAATCATTCTTCAAATTGTCTTAAGCCTCAGTAGTACACAGTTCTGTAAAACTCCAGTTAATTATAGATCTTGGTATTCTGCTATTTCTACCAGCTTAGCTTACCAGGCACTCCCAGGAAAGACATAGGTTATTTCTTTCATTTTCTTTTATAAGGAAGTGCACATAGACACAATTCACATACACTGAGTGACACGCATCAATTATGTTCATGCACGTGTAGTATTTCTGTGTCTTTCTCCTTCCTTTAGTAGCTCCAGCCTTTTCTTTTCTGTCTTTGGAACATGTAACCTAAGGCTAAAAGTACAGTGAGAGGTAAAGTATTAGAATGGACTGTTGAGTTCTCTTCCCTCTGGTGTTAGCTTTAGACTCAGCCTCTTTTGGAGTCAGGAGAGGAACATTTTATCTTATCAGGCTCTTCCTCTTACCACTAGATTCTGTGAAGGATAACTCGGAATTGAAATGGCCTCCTCATCGTGTTCCAACTCTGTGGATAAATATTTATTGGAAATTGGATGGGACTAGTGGTGAAAGAGAGGAGGAAAGTGAATCTTTAATATCTGCCTGTAGGAAATGTCAGTTATCAGGGAATGGAAGTAATGGTCTAACCTCCACAGAATGAGGACAGAGTTAGTAAATCTGAAGGGATGTGCTTATCACTGAGACTGAAGGTACATACACCTGCCCTCTTGCAGATACATTACCCAATACCTTTCCCAAGTGTTCTTTTTATTAGCTCAGGTGAGTGATTGTAACACTTTTGCATTGTGTAACATTTAACAAATGCTAACTAGGTCAAGAACTTAAATAAAGCATCTACTGCCTTGTGGTTTCACTATCTATCTATTGGATTTGGTCAGCACTTAAGGGTTATAAGTATCTTAATGACAACCAAACAGATGATCCTTATAAGGTCAAAATTAGATGAAAGTGGACAGGAAGGCCACATGAGACTTTGGGGTATTGTTCTTATTGCTTTCAGATAGCACTTTCTAACTCCACAGGCTGCCAACAAAACTTTCCTTTGCTTTACCTTTATGTCCAACTCTGTAATAGCAGTTTCTCACAGGAGGTCACCAATTGTCTCAAAGACCCTCCCAGTGGAATTTTATCCCCTGAAAGTCTATGGAAATTTTTCTAATTTGTAAAATCTGGGTTATCCGTGAAACTGAGAAATCAACAAAAATTTGTCTGCATACCAGACAAAGTATTTTTTCAAATATCCATTTTCATAAGCATAGCACTATGATAAAAATTTTAAAACGCATTTTTCTTTTTTTTTTGGCGGCTGGCCAAAAATGCAATTTCTTATCACAGACGCAATGCTCATAGGGAACACTGACATTTATGATTTACCTGAAGAGTTAATGTAATACAAAATTCAAAATTCAAATCATTATATGTGGATGTATAAAAGGTCATGTGAGTAAACAATGTGTTTGTTTACCAAACTGATGTTATTTTGATGTCTGACATCAGCGAAAGTAAGAAGGTTGCATTTAAGTCAGACTCTCTCACTGGATGGATGTAGCCTTGCCTTTGAGGTTGATGACTCATTTTAGGCAAATGGAGTTACTGAGATGAATTGTCATGGATTAGCAAATCTTTAATCTCAGAAGTTTAGAATCAGAAACACATCCAGACTATGCATTTGAAGACATTTTATATTCCTGAAAAAAGAATTATAAATTTTTATTCTCAGATTAAAAATTCTTTTGCATAGAATTTTAGATAGTCTTATGCAGCCACAAATAATATCTATCATGTTTTTCAAACTATAAGTAAGTTATTAAGGCATGCCTATTTACTTACAGTCTACTTGACACCATGACCAATAAGATATAATAGTATATATGTATATATTTTTCCAATTGTCCCAAAGGAATTTTGTGATTAAAAATAACAAATTGCTTTATTAATTTTTTTTTTCAAGTTAGAAAAATTCTTTTTCTTTTGGGCCCCTTTGCCACAGATTTTCCCTGGCTTGGACAGGGATAAGTCATAGCATATACTACTAATCTTTAGAATATCCAGTTCTGTTGCATATTATTCAGTGCTATTACCCAATACTATTTAAAAACTGAAGTTGTGTTTAAATTGATTAGCAGTCAAGTAAATCTCCATGGTTAGCCAATTCTGGAGGCTGTTGCACAGGATGTTGCATTTTCACAGTTAGAAATTTCATTTATTTATTAAATTTACTCACAAAAGGTATAGGGCTAAATTTGCAACTTATTTTTTAATTTGAATTTTGTGAGAAGCAAAACAGAGGACTTACCCCTAAAACTTCACTTGGAAAGACTTCTCTGGTATTTAGGTTTGGAATCTCTGGAGGAGCCATATGCAAGTGCTGTTTGAGGTACCACTTTGATGAGTTGATCATACACTGCAGACCCATGTGTGCCTTCATGAATGTTCCCAGTCTAGGCAATTGACTTCAGGCCTTATTTATCCAGTGAGATATGTTTTAGGAGCAATCTTTGCAAATCAGGAAATCCTCAGAGAATACAGGGATAGTTCCGGTTCAAGGCACCTGGACCATTCAAAGATTGCAAGACCCTGTTAGGCATAATGAAATGTGGTACAATCTAAGGAGGGCAAAAATTTTACAATGGACTAGAGCTTAAAACTGTTAAAACCTTTATGTTTGCTAGAGTTCCACAGTTGTATGAACATGTAAGGTAGAAACTCCCACCAGCAAGTAGTGGGTATGGGGAGCTACTGATGGCCTAATGATCTAGCACTGTTTATTATGAAGTCAGTTCCACAATAAAAATACGTGAAAGGTGAGGATATTCCTTAAAATAGGTTAACATATTGTTCTTTTCACCAGTGGGTGAATTTGAAAAAAGAAAAACTATCTGGTTAATTAATTGTACAATTATAAACTACTAACACTACCACAAATTGATTATCATTATTGTAGAGTTGAGTTTTTCAGGAAATGCAGTGAAAGCTTCCTTAATATGATGATCACAGTCTGGCCAGTTAGCTAAGTTGGTTAGAGCATGGTGCTGATAACACCAAGATCCAGGGTTATATCCCTGTACCAGCCAGCCACGCCCCCCCCCCCAAAAAAAGAAAAAGTATGATAGTGAGGTCTTTTGCGTAATTATTCTTGTTTTATTCTGTGTATACAATTACAGATAATTATAATTATGTTAGCTTTATAAATCATAAAATAGTAGAACTGTAATAAATCTTAAAGATGGTCTGGTATAATCTTCTCATTTCTACAGATGAAAAACCATGGCACTTCAGCCTAGTCATTCATATAGTAAAGACTTGCAGCTAACTCTTCATTGATTAACTACATTTGTAGAATTTCTGAGTCAGACAGTATTTAAGGAGACTATGCAGTTTTTGAATTTAGTTAATATTCAAGCTTGAGCTCGTTCATATCAATAATCATAAAATCAAAAATCTTATCCTCTGATCTGTTGAGAGAAGCTCCTCAGCTGTGCAGTCTAGCATAGGGTGTATTCTACAACACTGATGCAATATATTTAAAAAAGACATTTCTGTAGTCTCTGCTGAACCAACTGTAATCAGAGTAGGGAAAAGGAATTCCTTTAAGTAAGAGTTAAAGAAGCATAACTTTTAGTAATATGTCAAAGTTCAGAGCTTGGCAGCAGCAGTTTGAGATGAGGAAGCTCTGATTCAAACAAGCTGTAGCATGCCAAGTCCAAAAGTTTAAACTCTTCAGCAGTTTATTCACCACATATGCACAGCATGAGAGCTTCCGCAGGCTTAGGTACCTGACTTTCCAGCCACATCTCAGTGCACAAGTGTCAATTAATATTATTTTCATAATAAGGTTATGAAAAGGGATTCTTATTTACAGAGTCCCATTTCACAGTTTCATGTGTTTTTCTTCTCTCATCTTGTACACAACAAGAATTAAAAATTGGTATGTAACTTTGTCACTATAATTTTTACTAAGCATTTCTCAAACTTATTGGCTCTATGTTCACCTTTGCAGAGAGGATTTCGTTTCCGTTACGTATGTGAAGGCCCATCCCATGGTGGACTTCCTGGTGCATCTAGTGAAAAGAACAAGAAGTCCTACCCTCAGGTCAAAGTAAGTTTGAGGTGTTCTTCTATGTGAATTCTGGAAGATTCAGTTTCCTAGGAGTGAAACAATGAAACTGTTTTAAGTGAATACAATTTGCCTTTGCTCCTAAACTGAACTGTTCATATGATTATTACAGTTTTTAAGTAGAAATTTGTCTCTTAACAATAGAAGTGAGAGATTTTTAAACTCTGTTTACATTTCCATTTAGTAGAAATGTTTTCAACATTGGCTAACAAACTTTTACTATTTCTCAATCATCTTAAAGTTTTTTAAAATTGTACACTTCCTGAAATGTTAGTAAGTCTTTGAAAGAAATGCTTGATTTTGGCTCTTTGGAGATTTAGTGAAAAACAAAACAGATGACTGAGTGTATGGATTATATAGTATGTTATTGAAGATCATTCATTTAGATCCAGAATCTGTTACTTACTAGCTGTGTGGCATTGACTAGGTTAATCCAACACTTCTAAACCTCAGAATCCTAATGTATAAAATGCAGAAATATTAATAGTATGTGGTTCATAAAGTCTTTTAGAGATTAAATGAGAAAATGTATGTAAGTGCTCCACAAAGAACGTGAAAGCACCCTAGGGCATCTCTGCCTGTAGCCATGTGTGTTGGTCCTTCTTGGAACCAACTACTTCATAACATGCTGGTGGTGTGCTGGTGTTTACCCTTTACTATCTTCAGGTTCTTTTTTTGTTTGTTGATTTAATGGAAAATATCTTTCTCTAAGTTGAGTTTTTTATTTTCATAATATGGTGCCATGCTTCAAAGACTCACTGATAATAGTTTTGCAGTTAAGTCAGTCAACAATTGCAGTTTAGCAATTTTAAAAGTTTTTATTTGTTCAGTAATTCAAGGCTTGGACAAAACAATTCCTCCTACGTGTGTGCCCTCCTCAGAATATAACATACTTTTGGCCTCAGTCTTTTTGTTGGCTTATTTTGTGAATAGAGATGAAGTTCAACAGAGCAGGGCTGCAGCAAAATTATGACGTGAGATCTGTCTTTGGTTTTGCCAGGCTTATATTTTGTTTCTCCCCTTTCCTCATATCCCACTTCTAGGCCCAGGCCTTTCTAATTTCTTATCCTTGTTCCAAAACAAAAGACAAAATACTGTCATGTCATTCATTACATTTCAAGTGCTGCTCACCCATATTATATAGTATGGGTCCTATCGGTCATATTTGCATTTTAAGTCTCTTAGCTCTAGTTGTGGAATGGAAGATATTTTTCCCATTAAAGGTAATTAGGCACATAAAGATGATGTCTTTAGCCCACAGAAGCAGACCACAGTCTTATGGCCTCAAGTCCTTTAGAACCTGGATGAGTAATGCGGAACAGCAATAAAGGGAATTAGAATTTATTAAAGACCAAAGACTTGCCAAGTCCTTTACATACATTATCTCTTTTAATCCTGATAACAACCCCAGTATGTAAAAAGTGTAATTCCTATGAGGAAACTGAGGCTCAGAGAGAGGAATTAACCTGCCTTTCTCACAGGACTAGTGGCTCTTTATCCTACAGCAGATGATTGCTCATTGAATCTCTCACAGAGAATGTGTGCATTTGGGATGCTGGGTGCCAGGAGACAAGGGGACAGGACATGGAAGGACAGTGGAAAAATAAGGCACGGAGAATGATAACAATGTAAAGCAAGGGAGAGAGAGGCTCAGGTGGCAAAGGGTGCTCAGGTATTAGGGAGTCAGATGCAACACATCTTTTTAAAACATAGGTCTGTGTGTCATATATGACACATGAGTATACAAATGTTGTGTATGTTTTTGTGTGTATATATTTGTGAGAAGGATAATTGAAAGAAACATGTTCTCAGCATTGACATTGATTATAAATAGTGAAGAATTAAAATTAAGAAAAAAAATGGGAGTTTTTTCTGGGTTGGGTCTGTACAAAAAAACATAAATTATGGTATAGTCGGCCCTCCATATCCACGGGTTCCTCATCCATGGATTCAACCATCTGCAGATGGAAAATATTTGGAAAAATAAAAAAAATAATACAAATAAAAAACTACAGTGTAACTGTTTACATAGCATTTACATTGTATTAGATATTATAAGTAATCTAGAGATGATTTGAAGTATATGTATGGAGGTTATATGCAAATACTATGCCGTTTTTTTTATCAGGGACTTGTGTATCCTTGGGTTTTGGTGTCTGTGAGGTTCCTGGAACCAATCCCCCAGGGATACCCAGGGACAACTGTACTTTCATTAACTTGTTTACTTTAATTGCTCTAGTATTCTGTGGCTGAGTAACAATTCTTAATACTAACAACTACTTGGCACTAACTATGTTGTAAATTTATTGGCTAATAAAACCCTTACATATCTACTTATGCTTAGTCTTCATACATTCCTCTCATGTAGAGGTTCCACCCACTCAAAAACATTGTTGCTTCACAGTCACAAAATAATTTAGAAATGCAGCAGCTTAATGGACACGAGATGTTCTTATTCCAATCATGGTTTCTATTTCAAGGAGTTTAATACTTAGTGGTAAATACAGGCAGATATGTAAACAACTAATAATAAAACAAGTCAAAATATAAATGCAGAAGATTGGTCATAGTTAAACTTCAGCTTCAGCTGCTTTATTTCACCCAATCATTTGTTTTTAAATTCAATAATTCAGTATATATTTATTTAAGCATTTAATCAAATTGTAAGAAATGAAGAACTCAGTGTTTAGAAAATGTAACTATTATAAGCTGTCATTGTTCTCTTAGCCTGTCATTGTTCACTGGGAGTTTAAATGTCTCTGCTCAGAAAACTCTTAATTAGAAGGATGGGGATGAGGGGAAGAAAGAGACACTGTGAGGTATTTTTTCCCAGAGATCTTCTCTTAATATCCCTCCCAATAGTCTTTCATAAAGAATAGCTGAGGGTGACCTTTCGGTTTACAAAGGGATTTTAAATCCCTTTTCCCTGTAAAATTTTGCAGAGGAAATTTAAAGAAAATTTGAGGTTTAGGCTCCAATGTATATCTTTTATCAGGAAGACCTTTACATTTTATGTGTCTTTTCTGCCAAAGTTTATTAAGCACCTGCTCCCTGTGAGCTGTCAGGGAGGCATGGAGCAGATTCATCTAGATCAGAGTTTCTCATACTCAGCACTATTGACATTTTGGGTTAGAAAATTATTTGTTATACGGGGCTGTTCAGTGTATTGTAGTATATATAGCAGCACTAAATACTCACTAGATGCCAATAGCATTTCTACAGTTATAACAACCCAAAAATATCTCCAGATACTGCCAAATGTCCCCTGGGGGATAAAATTACCCCTGCTTGTGAATCACTGATCTGGATGTAATGTGGAATCAATCTTAACCTTATTCCTTTGCATATTTTGCTACTATAAAGCTGTATCACATAGATTACATGGAATTTTCCAAATATGTTATTTTACAAACTTATGTACTTTTCCTGATTATTAGTAGATATTTCTTACTTTCAAGATGATGATCATGGTGTCTGTGTAATTTCTCCTAGAATCTGTGAGTTAGTGTACCTGGATGTTAAGGAGAAAGACAGAAAAGATAAAAAAATATTTATCTTAAAGATTTCATATTCTGTGATAACTGCATACCTAAAAGTTAATGTAGGAGTTCTGTTGACTGTTACAAACTATTATGGAAGGGAAAGTGAAAGTGGAGGCAGGGACTTGTTCTACTGTGTGTGAAAGATGGGAGCATCTACAGAATAATTCTTTCAGGTCTGGCGAGGTATAATGGAGAATGCCCTACGTTCATCTAGAATCCGTTCTCACAAGAACTTGTGGGAGATTCACGTTCAGTGGAAAGAAATGATATTTCTGAGCCTTAGATTTGCTACATATTTATTAAGTGCATTTGTTCAGGCTTAAAAGTAAAATGTTATGGGCTCTGCCTTACCTTTACCTACAGTCTCTCTCCCTCCAACCTCATTCTGTGTCTTCTTGCCATGCCTCTGTGAGAGCGCTAACACTCAGCTGTCCCCTGACAGGCACCCTGGAAGGCTGGAGGTTCAGTGTGGACTCAGTCCTGTGGAGGCAGCAGCAAAGGGTCAGGGGCCAACCTGAAAGTTTTGGGGGCTGGCTGTAGTTTGGGGGCTGCAGAACCCAAACTGCACTTTATAGAACTTGTGAACATGTAACCTGCTTGGGATGCTGTCTTCCTCATTGTGCAAATTTGATGTCTCAAATTAAATCATTTTAAAACCAACTCTAGGAGTCTACCAAGATCCTGCATTTTCTGCTGAAATTGTGCCCTATGCATAAAACCCTATTTCAAATAAGTGGGTATGAAAACCCTATTTCAAATAAGTGGGTTTAGACACCCTTTCACCATGTTGAGATTATTTCTAGAACTCATGCTAATGATCCACCCAGTATTCTGCATGTTTCTTTGGTGTAGCTGAGAAGAAAGAATCCCACTTAGCTTTCTAATTCTTGCTCTGTAAGTCTTCATATTCTTTTTTTAAAAATTGTAAATTATTTTAAGCATATAGGAAGTTTAAAAACTGATTCTTATGTAACAGACACCATGTATCACAATGTAGATTTAATAGATATTAACATTTTATCATATTTGCTTCTGATCTCGCTCTCAGAAATGAAACATAGTTACAGCTAAAGTCCCATCCATCCCTTGGCACCCTTCCTTCTCCATAGGTAAATCTGTATTCTGAACTTTCATTTTCCAAAATGTTTTTATATTTTTACTATGTAAGTATGCATTTATAAAAGCTGGCATTTTCTAGAAAATTAATTTTTACTAGCTTCAGCTCAAATTTTCTATTATATATGATGGCTTCTTTTCAGGGAAAATGAGGGTTAAAGCTGGGCTCCATTAAAGATTAAATGGTGCTCACTTTGATGCTATTGATTCCTCCTTACGATCTCAATAAGAATGTATTCATTCACAATGTGGAGTTTATACTGACTCTTACAGCAAAAACTAATATTCAGAGAAAAATCTAGGGAAAGTAAGTATTCAAACTAA